AAACTGAGTTCAGATTGCCCAGGCTTCTTTCACCCGGTCAAATTCCAGGTAATTACACCAAAATCTTTAGATACAAACAGAATGACATGAGTATCAGTACATCCACCACGCAACTTAGCATGCGCTAACTCCTCGAGGGCGGTGTACTCTGGCGCTTTTTCTGTCATCATGAGTAACTTCTACGAACCGAAATCAGTCCAGCTTCCCTAAAGTTGTGCGTCTGATCCCTAGTATCACTCTCGATCAGAATGATATCATGGAAAACGCACTGACATCCATATTCGTCGAGCAATTTAACTGAGTGTATCCCCTTCGTTCAGCACAGGTATACGTCTTCCGCAGATATTGATCTACACACACAGCTGCTGTGTGTACGCATCACTCAGTAATCAAGTGATGAAGTTTGTAGTTGTACGATGCAAGCGTCACCGCACGATATAGCACATACAAGTTTTATTGATTTAGTTATGGTGAGTGGGGGGTTGGCTTCAAGAAAGGCAAAACCGTCTGTGGGCTGTCAAGTGGTTTTCAGCAACCTTGCCAGTAGTGTATTTATTATAATTCACTTTCACATCAGCCTTCAACCCAATCCGGTTCATCTAAGAAGAGAAGAACAGGACTAGAGTTTTCTTTTGTTGAGGCTCACCAGCATTACAGGTACTTGACCTTGTCAAATTTCGAACCTCGAATAGCTGAGATGCCAGGTTACAACGGACGCCCTGGAGCTAGCCCAGTGAGGGCAACCATAGACGTTGGTGGTGGTCTCTGATTGGAGCAAAGCCCCATTCCAGTGCTTCCTCTCTTCCTTGTTTTTTCTGTCCATGTAAGCCGCCATCCAACTACTTCTAATTTGTAAGTAGTTTTCAGCTGAACTGAAGTGAAGCAACTTGTCTATATTAACCGTACAACCGAATTTCCGTTCTTGATTCATCCGCTCACGATTCTATCAGTATCCGGTCTATCGTTAGTGTCAAAAGATCTGAGTATTGCCGGCTTCCTTAATGAGGTTTTGGTGGAGTTTTATGGTTTCAGTAGGTTCTGAGATTACTTTCAGGAATATGGCCTTCCTGACCACCAGCAGACCAATCCTCCCTTCAGCTACTATGATCCTACGGTCAGTGAAACTGTTACGTGCCTTTGTCCACTGTGCCCTACCCTTCCTTTTTATTGGCAGATGCCATCAAATGCTTCGCTTGTCAGGAGTCGTGCGGATCTTGCCGTGCTGCAAGTTTACCGTTGGGTGTGTTTCACGTCTGAATGAAGCCTGTTTTTTGGTCTGAACGAAACGATGCTGTCCAAGAAAATACGCACACAGTCCAAATGACCACTTGCATTCACAGAACGGGAAACTGTGTGTTCGATCTGGAGGTCTTTGGGGCAAACAACAGCGAGTTTTTCATACGCTGCAACTATTCTGTCAAAACAAGATTCGTGTATGCGGTATTTCGTCCATCCATTTTACTGCAACTTCAACTGACTAACGTCTAATGTCATTCAGAGAAGTCGGGCAACCTCTCACCAACAAGCACTGTCCATTGAAGCAAGCATTCTCCTGCTACGCGGTAACCTCTCTAGAAGAAAGAAGTTTAGTCGACCAAAAATTTTCTACCACAGGATACTCCTACCAAGTAGAACGATTTCCAAAGCGCAACAAGAAACATCTCATGAGGATCGTTTATCTCCAACCTAAAATGTTTTCTGATCATTGCCCATTATGATGTTCCGTTTACAAATGATCAAGTGAAGCTAGTCGAAACAGGAGAGTCTAGTGTAAAACCGGTACAGTTTAGGAACAGTTTTTTATCCGTTAGTAATACCCGAAGAAACCAACCTTTAATAGTCCTGAATTCGGTTGGCACTGCATCGACCCTATCACCTTCAGGGGTGGTGATCGATTTGATTGGATGGGTTGAGGGTGATGCCGTCGTCGTCTTGTTTCGTATCCTGAATGAAGTGACCTCATCTATGGGTTGCTAGTCAGGTGGGGATAAAGGACATGTACTACCTAACTTGATTGGAGAGTTGTCAAAAAAGACAAAAAATCAGGGTTCCAATGGCGCTCATTTTAAGTACATCACTCACTGCCTTTGCTGGTAGTGATGCTATTCACCTGATTCCAGAAATTGTTCCACCAAACCACACCTATACTCAGTATCTTAAGCCATCTCTTCGACACATGTGTAATGGCGGATGCTACTGATGAGGCATTCGAGTAGTATGTGATTCTCTCGTAACTGCGCCTCACGTCTAATGGAAGATGGGGTCGAACTGCTGTGCAGCGTTCGTTTACGGTTGCGAGGTAGTCAATGAATATCCACGAAAGTTCAAGTAGACGGGTGAGAATGGTCAGTCTAAAAAAACAAGGTGAATATGAGATGTTTACTTTCCTCTCCAATAGTTTGTAATCGTTTAGTTGGTGTTTGATAATGAACAAATCCAGAGCGAAGAACTTTGCTCCTTATGCAGGTCCAATGCACTGACTGAGCGAAGCAAAACGCTTGCTGTGGTTGAGTCACTCAACCCTCCAAGTCTGCTACAATCAATCTTCCTCGAGGGTACGCTAAGGACTCCTTTTGGACCTGGCCTGGTTAGTATCTTGAACCTTGTAAATAGTGAAAGCCATTACAATCATTTTCAATAACGTCTTCCACAATGGATCGGTCGGTCAGGTTTGTTTGTTGGGAAGTGATAACTTCGGCGAAGATTTGCGGCTATACTTTTGGGTGATGCAGTTCACAGGTTAGTATATTGTATCCCCTTGTCCGTCAACATTCATGTTCGTTTAGTTGGTGTTTGATGATGAAAAAATCTAGAGCGAAGAACGTTGCTCCTTACGCAAGTTCAATGCACTGACTGAGCGAAGCAAAACGCTTGGTATGGTTGAGTCACTCAACTCTCCAAGTCTGCTACAATCAATCTTCCTCGAGGGTACGCTAAGGACTCTTTTTGGACCTGGCCTGGTGTTACAACACCTGGTTAGTATCTTGAACCTTGGAAATAGTGAAAGCCATTACAATCATTTTCAATAACGTCTTCCACAATGGATCGGTCGGTCAGGTTTGTTTGTTGGGAAGTGATAACTTCGGCGAAGATTTGCGGCTATACTTTTGGGTGATGCAGTTCACAGGTTAGTATATTGTATCCCCTTGTCCGTCAACATTCATGTCTGATGAGACTGGAGGTTTGAAAATTCACAAAAACTTTTATCTGCTGACCAAGTTTTTTTACTGTCCAGGTAGATCCATCCTAGCTACATCCTCTGACCTGGCTATCCACGCCTTTGCTACCCGCACGGCAGAATAGTCTCAAATCAATTTTTTCTCAGTGGATTTAACTACTGACAGATGTGAGTAGAACGTTTTCGAATGGTAACTTTTTTAGGTAGGTGTAATGTGTGAGGAAATAAGATTTGCACCACTAAAAATTGCGTTACCGTCAGAAAAACCATAGATGTGGCAATCCTGGCCTTCCGCGCTCAGTGTGACGGAATGTTCGATCGTTTCTCGTTTCACTGGACCCTTTCCCACACTGACAACTGCGGGTCTTGAAAGAAAACTGCGAATTCACAGGCTTTGTTGTCTTAGATCGTTGTATTTCTGGTGCCTAATCTATTACGGAGCCGTCCCGGGCTGACTAATTGACATAACAAGCCAAAGTTCAAGAGAAAAATGACCAATCAAAAGCCTTCCCATACTGAGACTTATTCTAACCCTAAACGCAGAATAATGTAATATCTTTAGAATTACGGATTTACTGAACTTCCTGAGGATGAGATGTTTCATGCAATGTCCTTTCGTAATGCACTACACATAAGGCTGCTGAAATCCGTCGACAACCTTATGAGTAGTGCATTACAAATATACATGTATTGCGATATCTCGAATATCTTATCGACTGAAATATGAGGCGGCCTGGTGCAGCACATTCAGTTGCCTGGAAACATCGCAAACGGGAGATTCAGCTGGGTTCCAGTTGAGTCTCTCGCAAAACCAAATTAGTTTGCAAATGAGTACACCTCGCCAATGTCCTTTCCTACGACAAAACGGTTCACTCAGGCAGTCTGGAGGTGAATTTGAAGAATGACAAACTATGCACAAGGAAATTGTCTGACATTTATCTCTTTGCTAATGTAACCGGTCTGTGGTGTTTGGTGACGAATTTTGCCCGTAATGATTTATGTAAATCACCGGCAAATGGAGCGTTATGAAAACCGGTTGTCAGTGGAGCTTCTAGAGAATGGAGAAAGTTTGATTACTAGAATTTGAATCTTGTTCTACTTATGAAGTCAATCTTCGCTAAATAGCTTAGAAGCGGAATTATTGCTTCAGTGCTAGCGATGTTCAGCAGTTCGAACCTAGCAAATCTGGTGCTGATACTTACTGCCTACAAGACACTGCCAAGACACGTGCATACTCGCAGTTTTCGACAACTGAGGCCTAAACTTTCGATGTTTTTAATGAGCTGCAGCGATGGCAATGCTCTGTATACATGCAGGATGGTGTGGGCATCTCGAGAGGCAGCTGAATTCGCTCCGTCCTGTAACATGTCGGGTGGTCGGTTCTTGACGTAACTTGAGGAATTGGCACTGGGTCCCTAACTGCGACCGCCGGCCCGAGACAGCAGTCCGTGTACAACAGTGGTACGGGATATTTCTGAGGCCGACCCACCACAGAGGCCAAACATTGTAGATTACTATGAGAAAGTAATGTGGTTAGAAAGAGAACCTTTCCAAGGTTTATTTGAGGATTCGTCAGTCGAAAAGCTGATGTTGGTTGTGTGTGATGGAGGCTACCTCCCGTCTAGAAGCTGCATGAAACTATTGATCAGTCAGGCGTATCTGACCGATGTGGTTGGAAATCGCCAGTGACAGATAAACGGTGCTTTCTGCCATTGGATCCCAGACAGACTGCTCCCGTACGAGGAAATCGAGCTCCGAGTAAGTTCGACGTCCAACCACCCACCCACCCGACACAAACAAACACAACACTACAGTGACAAAATACGGAATTCGTTTGCAGTATCTTCCCATATAAGTAGTTTTTGTCTCATTCGGTTTGCAATACATGAAAAAAGGCAATTCAACAAGCAAAACTGATAGAAATGATGTGCAAAACCGATAACAGTTTTTTGTTCTTGAGAATTGGTGAAATAAAATAGTCGACACATCTTCTTCGTAAAGCCATACGTAAATAGAGCAGAACAAAATTCATTGTCAAATGAACACATACGTGGGTTACTGCCCAGTAGGTGGCGATGGGGGGTGTAAAAACGATAAAGATAGTATTGTTGAGTGGTGTCTTTTATAAGGGAATAATTTCTGTCCCAAACTTGTCCATTCTAAGCGGACAAAAACCGATTGGCTTCGTACGTTGGAAAACTGAATATGGTAGCGAACAAGGTGCGCTTTATCAAACAAACGCGAGCAGCGTGCGCTCGTTTGGTTGTTCACATAGCCGTACGGGCAGAACACGAGAACAGGGATAGAGCTGTTTTTTTTCTCTGGGAAAAGAACGTGCACATGTACGAAACGGTAGTACTAGACAGTACGCGGTTTCGAAATGTCACCACAAGCTGAGGTTGTACTGAGTACGTTGGAAGTATCGAGCAAAGGTTTGCCAGATAGGTTGTCATTATTCTGAATTGGATAGAATGACCCCGATTCCGAAAGGTCGTCTGTTCGCAAAGGCCGGCAGTCCGCCGTTCTTTGTGGACTGAACTGGTGAGGACTGGCGGATGTTTCGAACAGGAAGGGTAGCATCAGATTACACAACCCATCGTTCATGGGCTTTGGGGATGTGGACTCGCCACTGACAATGATGTTATTCAGCATACATTGGGTGGAATCTTCAACAGTCCCGGTGTTTCGTGTCACATCGAATGAGTCACCCAACTTTTGTTCGGAAGGAGAAATAAATGACGTTCTCGTTGGATCGACCATGTCCTGACTGATTCCGGAAGTGTTAGTTCCCACCGATAGGTGATTGCGTAAGGACGGTTGGCTACCCTCGGATAGTGTGTTGGATAGAGCAATCTATTTAATGTGAAGAAAGATCGAACTCAGTGACACCAGGCTGGTCCGTCTTTGATAGATGTGATGCAGAAATAACAGGACGCAAGAGAAAACAGAATACGCGAAATACACTGATCTCCATACAATTTGATTTTGACGGGAGACTCATCTGGAACCCAGCTGAATCTCTCGTTTATGGTATTTGGGTTCAAGTACAACACATGGTTGATGGAAATTCAGGGACTGTGCCTATCTGGTGAGCCTCAAGGACGAAATCGGTCGTGGGCTGTCGAAGTGGTTGATGAAAATTCAGGGCCTGTGCCTATCTGGTGAGCCTCAAGAAGGACGAAACCGGTCGTGGGCTGTCGAAGAGTTTTTTAGCAACCTTATGAGTAGTGTACTACGTCTGAAACAGAAGACGTCCTATTCGTGTGGTGCGGCAAGCTAGTTTCAACTGACTGTCCTTGACGTTTTCACCATGACAGCATGAATAACCGACTGTGGAGTCTCGGTATGTCGGTGATTCAATCACCTTAAGCAAGTAAGTTGAACCAGGAAGGCACTTGCACCAAAACATCTAATCTCATTATGGTATAAATGGACGCCATGTGCGAGGAGGCAGGTGATCTGAGAGCATAGAAACATGCATGGGTTCACTGGTTGTAAGGCCCTATTGCGATTGTGTCTAAATTGCACTTGGTTCCCTCAGACATGTCTCTTTGCAGCTTTAGACATGAACGATTAATGCCCGATTGTTTACTCATATAACAATCCGCTGACAAGATATCACCGGCAAGTGAATGCCAAAATGCCAAACGGCTTGTTGTAGGCAAATCGGTCTGTTATGAACAGACTAAGGCGGTGTGACGTTTTGTATACTCCCATAACTCATTCAGTTGTAATGGAGAGTGTGCGACATTCACAAAACCATAAGTGATATAGTCCTCAGACTCCGTTTTCGCCAGTTTCATACATTGGAAGCGAATATTAAACAAGGGCGAACGCTCATCGAAAATCATTGAAATTTGCTGCACGGTTTTGTCAAAACTGAGATCTCGCGTGTTCTTAGGCAGGATAAAGTTGGAATGCCGTGTGTGTTCCGTTGTGCCAAGCTTTCTGATCAATAAGCGTACTCTCCAGGCATCATTTTTGTGCTTCAGTTCGACTTGGAAAACATCTTCGTAACGTCTGAACCACGAATCGAAGGTTAGGCCGGCATCAGGGTCATAATGGAACTCCGTGATGCTGTTGGCAATCGAGTAGACTGAATTTGTATCTGGAGCGGAATTTGGTGGTTGGATTTTAAGTTGCTGTGTCAATGTTTCCACCAAACGTAATTGTGCCGCTTCAAACTGGTTTTGTTGTTGCAGCAGAATTTCTTTCAACGCTTCAGCAGTTATTGTCATGATTCTGTGGGTTCGGGCGTCGCCAATCTGTTATATCTGCTGACTCGCCGGCCTGTGGTATCTGCTGCTGACCCGCTGCGGTGCCTAGTGTCGGAGAGAAAAAGGCTCACGGAAGGGAACACAGCTATATTCCAACAAAGTGGCTGCGAGAGCGCGAGTGCGAAAATACAGCGGCCTCAAGCTTTTTATTGGAAGGACACTGTCTGACCTTGGTCGAACGTTGACGCACACGGTCTGGCTGCGACGTTCTGCATATTGCGGAGGCGTTGTCTGTCCTTGATCAACGCTGACTCGCGCTGTCTGGGTTTGATGCAAGGCTGTGACGCGCTGCATATTGAGGAGGCGTTGTCTGTCTGGTCAACACCCAGCGGAGCTGAGAGTCTCCGTAGATTCCGGGCATTCAGTGGTTGCTTTCAGGAAGCTGACCTTCCTGATAATAACAGACTAGTCTACCATGCAGGCTGGGCTGGCTTTCTACTGACGTGTGGTGTCTATCCTCAAATCTTCGACCTTCAGTGCCTCAAAACTGTGGCTCAAATTGATTAGAACCGGTGAACTCGCAATGAGGTGATCAAAAGACGGGTTTTTGGTGAGGTGGAGGATAATTCCCTCAAAGAATACATCCAGCACTGGTTACTTATTCGGCTGGGCTATATGGCACGCAGACCGAGTTGGCGCCTGCCAAGACGAGCGCTGTGTTTCGTGTCTTATTCGGATTGGCGGAAACATACAGGCGGACAGACCTGACATGGCAGAAGTGAACGAAGGACACGGGGAAGCGTTTGGGTGTCGTCGGTACTGTTCGCCTTCCACGATGGGATACATGTGACCGTCCCTGTGCCTGACTGGAGACACCGAACGATATGCCGGCTAGCCAATGTCGGTCGCGTTCACGTCGTCACTTCCAGGGAGTGCGGACACTCCGGACGCATGTAATAGGCTAGCCCCAAGTCTCTCTTCCTCCGCCATTTCTTTCTTTTCTTGATTATAAGGCTTTATTGAAATAAATTGACGCGATTGTACGGAAGTGAATCATTGATGTTCTTATCTGGTGCCGCCGTCAATGATGATGATGATGAGGAGGAGGCAAATTGATCTATCGCGTCGAAAACAAACCCGACCGAAAACACTCAAACAGAAACTGGCTCGGGAGTCGTACTATGGTCTCGTACCGTAACTTAAGGAACGGATTCGATGTTCCAGAGATGTAGGATCCCGAGACACATGGGAGACATTCGGAATATAGGACTCGGCAGTGGCAGCGTCGACGTTCGCTACTGTGTAAATCTTGCATCTCGCCTGTTCAACCCGCCGTAATAAACGTCTAAGCCTCAAAAATCAGGATTCTCCTTCTAACATGTCTGACAAGGCTAAGGATATGCACGGTTGATGGGATCCAGTAAGAGCTAAACTTGACTCCGGCGATTCCCTTCTTTGGTGTGGAGAGCTAATATGGTGTAGACTTAAGCCCACACACTGTGAGTGGAACGGGATATCACCAAAGTCCCGTTTTTAATTTAGTTATTTAGCGACTCAGGAGTTCACACAATGATGATTTCCACTAGGCGAAGAACATACCGGAAGCGCAGGAGTTTGTCGACCAATCTACGAAAACTGGCCAAACAAAGAGGAAACAAAAGTGGCTTCATCGTCACTCTTTGGACCGTCCGAAGGTTCTAAAACTGTTTTTTTTTCAAACATAACGGGTTGATGTTCAGCGCGAGAGAGGATATCTCGGTGTCCTTGAGGCATATCAAATTCTTACATCTGACTAACAGAAAATGTTGCGTGCTTCGCGTCACACCGGACGTCACAGTGATGAACACTTACTTTAGAAACTATGATCAGATGTAGCATCATCCCGGTCGCCAATTTTCTATTTGCTTGTGCTTTTTTAAAACAGACTGGACAGCTGGCAGAGAAAACATACAACGGACCAGGACCAGGTGTACACATATGTGCGTGAGCTTGACAAAGTAGAATTCACGAACACGAGGTAACGTGATATGGCACGTGACGGGCAAGGTCGTCCACTGACTTGATTATGGTGGGTAAGATATTGAATGAAAACACACAGAGCTAAGGATATATTTGCTAAGCATCCATTCTTAAATAGACCCACTAAGAAATGCAGCTCCAGCAAAGTTCGACTTACACGTCGCGACCCGATTGGGTAGTATGAATTATTGGGTGCACAAAAAGTCTGTTGGATTGGACGGTCAACCGACCCATCAGTTCCCGGTCGTTCAAACGCTACCGAACTATCCGTTACAATTCGTCCTGAGGAGGAATTTGGTGTATGGTTGATCGCTGCTTGTGAACAACACGCGCTGGACAATGACTGATCTCTGAGGACATCATCACTGATTCCCTTGTCCCGATTACACTCGGCACACTGATAAACAGGTGTCGGCCGGAACTCCCTATGTGGAGTTCGCGTGGTCTGTTGATCGACAGGGGTGAAGAACACCTTGGGGTTGCATTGGGTATTGGTGAGCACACAGACTGAGGCACTGCGTGAAGGATCTTTGTTTGAATCAACCTGTAGAATTTGAAAAGTTGTTTAAGAACCGAATGATAGAAGGAGGTTTCTGAAAGGAATTATTTCGCAGCTATACAATCCACTGTAGACAGAAAACAAGATGATGGAAAAAGATTGTTCAGCTGTAGCACCCTTCCGGTGCCCAGTTGCCATGCCACCAGAAGGAAGCACGAGGGCTGGGATAATGCCAGGTTGCCCAAGCCTAGACAGGGGAAGTCGAGAGGCGGAGGTCGGATTTTAACCACATGGGTCATCTCGTCCCCCCAGATGATGGAAGTAATACTGATATAAAGTTGGGTCAAGATTAGGTGGGAATTAACTCACCTGACGAAGGTCGCTGCGTTCTGAGATCACCACCTTTCAAGTTAGTCACTGAGATTCGGAATTTTGGTTCGTAGGTGTGGACACGGTGTATCCGGTGCTTTTCTTATGCGAAAACCACTGCATACCTAACAAATAAAGTTACATTTCGATTCTTCCTTACTCAGTGGGAAAATTAGGACTACAGGTGGAAGAATTGGTTCAGGGTTGTGGTTAACCCTACGGCCCTGTGTATCACAAAGCCTTTTCTCCCAATCATTTGTCGGATTGAGATCACACAACGACCTACCGGTGACACCTGAGCAGCAATTTCAGTCTGGGTTGTAAGTGGTCAAACGTTGACCACCTCTCTGCCTTTTGTAAGACACGTTTTTCAGATCCGATCAACACGGATTTACACTATGATATCGAATGCTCAGTGAAATCGATCACTACAGTCCTGGCGTGCTGAGACTAATGAGCTTCGAGGCATTCCTTCGAAGCAGTAATCGAAATGAAGCAAACCACATGCATTCCGGTTGCAAATTAGGCGTAGCGTGTTGGCAATTGTGTGCGCGCGCTCGATTGGTCAGTGCGCATGTGTGCATTGTCGCACATACGATCGATCGTCATCACCACAACAACCAAAGTAAACACACCTGGTTTCGAGCAGCCCAGATAATTGTCTCCGATATCTGGATGGCAAAAGCCGTTGGTCGATCGACAGATTAGCTGCACATCAGAATTAGATTAGCTCTGGAGAGACTACGTGGTTGTTGTAGACCAAAGGTCGAACTTCATATCATCTGTTAAGTTCACGTGAATGAAACATGGCGGAGATGGACGGTCCGAGATAGCTCAGTGGGTGTGGTATCAGTGCAACGGTGATACTACTGATGGGAGAGGCTTGCGAGTAGTAGGTTTTCTTGTAAATTCGCTTGTAAAGGGAGATCTATTGCGGGATTTGTGGACTTGCTGTGTAGCATTTCCTTGAACTCCAGCAACATTCAATGAATATCCAGGAATGTTCAGGAGGACGCGCTTAAGAGAAGCTGGATGTTCAGTTTTTGTCAACAAGATGCATATGAGAGTTTTGCTTCCCTGTCCAATAGAATGTAACGGGTCTAGTTGTTATTTTCTAGTAAGTGACTCCGCAGCGAAGGTCTTGTTTTACCGGTATAGCGAGCGGCAGGTCGGCGGTTCGAGTCAGTCCTCAAGCGGGTCTTCCCGTTCATGCTAGCTGCTGCCAGACTTCTCAAATCGAAATACAAGACTGTCTTAATGATACTGGAACAGGAAGCGAGATCTGTCACCCTAATACGACTTACTGCGGTCCCTCCAGATCATCAAATATTTAGGCAACAAACCAGTAGCATTACCTGAAAGTATTAAAAGCTATGAATCACCTGACAAAGATATTAAAACTTTTTCCCAAAAGGTCAGAGAAGATTCACTACCATTAACCTATCTGTTTCAGCCTGTCAAGCACTTGCCGCCCTCTACAAGCAGACATTTGCCAATCTTTTCGAGAGAGTCATCAGAAAAGCGCGAGAACTCAGCAAAATATGGTCTGTTATTATGAGTTCCCGTTAAAAGCTGTTAATCAGTCTGTGAATTTAGGCTTCAGTTCATTCGAGTTTTTCAGCTACAAGGCGTACGCTGAAGTACAGTGGTTCCAGCTGCTACAACTTTGTTCGACGAGGATAAGGAACTCGAGATAGCTCTGTGATTTTCTGTGAAATTTACTCGCGGGAAGGTCTGCTGTTCAAACCCAACCTGTACATCTCGACTGCTCTTGTCTAGGCTTTGGCAACCTGACAGCATCTTAGACCTGGTGTTCCATTCGGGTGGCATGTCTGCTAGGCACCGGAGGGTTGTCACAGCCAAACAATTATTCATTATCCCTACAAACGAGTTTTCCCGCGAATAGTTTCTCGATAAGCTTTGGGTAAGTTTTAAACACAATCGAATTCTTGGAGAAAACAGTTGCAAGCACAGAATGAGCTCTGTATTGTGTGCGGTATTGAACAATGAAGACGGTTCTTTTCTGCGCACTGCACAACAAAACAAGGCATTTGCAACTGTTCCAAGGAAACCTCTTCATCGGGAGTCTCAGCAACCATATACGGCAGTGAAGCATCAGTGCCAACACTGATGTTGCTGTCATTGATGATGATGATGATCAGCAACCATATACAGCGGTCCCATAGTCAACGTCACGTGTTTTTTGTCTCTTGGGTGGATATAACACGCACCATATTGTATTATCACGAAATGCTAAAGTCCTGCTCACTGTGGGTGTGGAATCTAACTTGACGTTATGATAATTCCCCCATTCATTTGCTTAATCCGCCTATGTACTTTTGCTCCACAGTTGTTTTGCTTATTCGCAGAGCCGTCCTTTCCGACACTTATGTATTGACATGTGTCTGTGTGTGAATGTGCGCTGCTGACCTACTTACCCATGTGCGGTCATTTCCCGTTTGCTGAGCCTGCCTTGACATGTTTTCTCATGGGCTCCGCGTTATCGCACGTCCGATGAGAATCACGAGACCGTCGTCCGAAGGAACGACCGCAACCCACGCTACTGAACAGTCATTCCGCTCGCCGTTGTTTGGTGTGCGGACGTTGACACTGCATTGTGCCGGTCAGTGACAGACCTGTGAACTTGTTGACGCTATGAATGTGAACAATTGAGGTTTGTTGTACACATTTGCTTACCCTTGTGTAAATAGTAGCGTAGAATTACGAACCCAATTCTTCCTTTTGATGTTCGGGATTGTCGAACCTACGCGTCACTCAAAATTCCGTACCGGGAACCTCAACAGTGGGCTTTGTGAATTTGTTCCAGAGACATTTGAAGAAAACACTGAGTACCTTCCAAATAAATAACTGTGCAATGTCTGCAATTCGATATACGAAGTACAATGTGGCGAGCGGACACCGTAAATTCAGCCAAACGGTCGGTACTGATTGCATGATGTGTAATCGGTTTGCCCGGATTCAAAACTGCATTCGTCTCCCGTTACTTTTGAGTATTCCTTTCGCTGGTGGAATACCACAAAAGAAAAGAACGGGAGTAAAGCTTCAAAGAAACGTACCGTATTGGACTTCCTTAGACGGGGATTAGACCTCTAACTAAGAACACCCCAGCCCAGTTTTCTGAGTTTCGGTCTGGATATGATAACTCTTGAGAGGGCGTAAACAGAAACATGTTCACCGGACCGAATAATCGGTTGACAACCACGCCATACAGAACAGAGACGAAGGTTCGACGTTCATGGCCTCATCCACACCTAGAGGAATGATTCACAGCAGTAGGGGCAATGCCAGGAATAGCAGGTGATTCAGTGATCTTTACACCTATCTAGACAGCTCTATAGCACAGCTTTCCATCTCGGCATAGACAGTTAATCGAAGTGGCTAATTGGTTAAACTTTTGAGACTCTTGCCAACACTTACATTGTTCCCACAACGAAACAGTCTGTCAGAAAAGAGTGACTTCGCCTGCTCCACTTAGATACTTCCGTATATGATAAAAACCATAAATGATTGATGGATATATAAGTTGGGATGAAAGCCAATTTGCAACCATTCTGGGTTTTTCAAATCGCCCAGAATTCGAAGGTGTGTGGAACAAGGTATCATACAAGACTGCTACTGTTGAGGAACCGACCGAAAGTCAATGCAGTCTGCGCGTGTATAGTGTAGTCTCACAAAACCTTGTTCAATCTACCTATTTTCTATACTGTTCGCCCAGTATGATCTGGAGCCCTGATACAGTTATGACTTAATCACGGGAACCGGCAACCAGGACATTCAGTCACTGGAAAATCACCTATTAGCAGCTTCGAAGACGCGGACTAAAGGACTTTCAATCAACGATCCTCAGTTTGACAAGGTTTCAATCGCACGTCAGCTGTTTTAACCTTGCGGTGAGTACAACCACAAAAGAGATATGATCAAACTGCTGGACTCACTGTATGACAGAGCTGCGTTTCTGTCCCTGTGTGGTGAACACATGTAACGGGAACTTCTGGTTTGTATTTGCAACCTTCTGGAAGGACAGATGTACGCACGGGTACCCTGATGGAATTGAGGAAGGAAACTTGTCCACTGGTTTCCGTCAAACGAATCTTTTGCTGACCTGGGTTCAACATACATGGTGCCCGGCTGCGTAAGCTCGGGGATGCTGCGCAACAATTGAAGCCAGACAATTGTTTTGGTGTGACAGTAGACGATGCCGAACCGGGTGACATTGTGGTGATCGTGGGCGGGCTATCAAATGTTATATGAGGCTGTATGTTGTTACGAGGGAGCAGATAACGTCCAGCTAGCTGGTCAATGATGGTGGAATTGTCCAATATGGATTGCATTCGGACTTCACCGGTGTTTGGATTTGCCGTACGACCCGGTACAAGACTGGTGGTACAGGCACTGTAAGACTTGGTTTTGGGAACCGACGTTTTTGCCAAAGTCATAATTGTGTCGTTCGCTGTACATGCCGAAACTTGACTCTGTGAGTAGGGTCGAAGTTCATTCGTCAAGTAGTTTGGACAGCTTGTTACACCATGACCGGCACATCTGAACTCTGTTTTGCCTAACTGATCAACTGTTGATGTTGTGTCGCACTTCCAGCGGGAGTTAGCGGGTTGGATTACCCCAGTAGGTGCTGTAGGGACGTAAGAAGTTCCGCACTGACTTGAAGTAGGAGCGGAGGCCGACAAAGCAGGGGTTAGTAGAAGACCGTTTATTTGAAGGGATCCTGAGCTAGCCCCGTTCGGTCGGTCGTGTGTATTTAGTGCGGTATTTGAGGTGGTCAAAATCGGTGTGCCTCCCAAGGCAGTTGTACAGAACTCGTGAGGCGATATGTTTGATGGTATCATCACAGTCGTTGGGTAAATGAGGGCAGGCTAAATGAGCAACGAAAAAAGGTTGAAACACGAAAGAAGGATCATTACCAGTTGGTTTTTGACGGTGTCTAACCAATACTGTTCGAAACGCGCCACTATAACAAATATCAGGGGCTGTGAGGGTAGTTCGGCATACTGGACACGAAGTGTTTTAGTTCACATGCTCGTTTCTATAGTCATTACCTCACAGCCGTATGAAACGGTAGATTCCTCTCTACTTGAACCGAAATTGTGCACAATTAGCAGACTAAATTCAGTAACTTAATCCAATCAAAAACCTCTCGTTTATGACATTCCTCAACCGAATGTGTTACACAAAGACCGTCTTCGGAACTCGATGAGGCCCAAGAAAGGCTGAAATGGCTGTTGGCTGTCGAAGAGTCTTCATCAATCTTTTTGGCAGTGTCCCTCTAAAGACACTCTAACGCGATAACTTGAATAGTGTTCCAAGTGAAACACAAGTTGGAAAAGATCACTAACGAGAGATTCAGCTAAGTCTTCCGTTATTATTTACTGAATTTTGCCATGCGCTGGCCATCTTTAGTTTACCTACAAGACAGCTGTATTCATGTCTCGAATCAATGCACCCCAAGTGTCACGATCTGAACTAGGGACGGTACAGTTCATAGAGAGGTTGAACGCACTTGTTTCGGGGGCTTCCGTAGAATGTGTACATGTTGGGTATTCATATGCAGTGCATATTCTGAACATGGGGCTTCTAAAATGGGCGGCCTGACTGACGTTCAGAACTGTACTGCGGGCCGCGCAAGTAACCCGAATGTTCCAACCTCTTAGTTTTTTTTATATCTTTCAGTAGTTCATGTTGTCTCAGATACGGTGAAATTTTTCCTCTTGGAAGAATCCATTCAACATTCCACGGTGAGCCTTAATTTCAATAGTGTCATTAGGTTGGCAGGTAGTTTTTTCGTCTGATGCGTTCAAGAGTTTCTATGATTTGACCAGTAGGAGACCGATAGCCATCATCATCATCATCATCGACAGCATAACATCAGTGTTCAACACTGACGCTTCACTGCCGTACAACCATGATTTATTTGAAAGTCTTATTGTAAAGAAAAGAGTAAATGTGGATGGGGTAGTGACTTAGTGCTAGCTTACCACAATCATTCCGAGGTACTTAAACCTCCAGCCATATCTTGTAGTGTCTCCAACCAGGCACAGTGAGGATCACGCGGTCCCCATCCTGGAAGGCGAGTAGCACTGAGAGCACCCAGGCGTTTCGTGATCTCCTTCATACTCCTCTGCCACGTCAAGGGTTGGCCACCTCTCTGTTTACACCACTCTGAATTGGGTATGGAAAACAGCACTCTCTTCGACAAACGATAGTTCGGCATACACAACACACGTCCCAATCAACGCAGCTATGGAAGTACCCGTTGCACAACCGATAGCTATTCTCGGTGGAAAGCCCCGAATTCCGAACTTCCAAAGAGCACGTGTTTCTTTCGAGATAAATAAATTAAATACATCCTGAACAATTGCATCTGAAAAGACCTAGCCTTGAAAATTGACAGTGGATCCACACTGTCCTTCATAGGGCTGACTGTTCTGTGTTATCCACCAGGTACTTCACCTAAATGGTCATCTGCTTCAGACGGTCAATCGATAACTTGCCCTAACTATTGACAAAATTAGGCTGTTCAGGTGACCGAATTTTTCACCCGAAAGGTTGTTTACTAACGATTACGCCCTGGAGACCTGTATTCAGATAGAAACGCCATAGTTACCTGATGTGTCCATCCCTAGAAACGAAAATGCACTGGACGGGAGGGTATAGGTCATACTGCTAACCACCCTAGACGACAGTTTCGCTGAAATTCCATTTTCTCTCCTACCTAGAATGCCGGATATCATTCCTAAGTATGTGCGTGGAGTGGAGTTAAATGTCTTTGTAGGGGGTTAGACCCCCGCCCCATCGAGTGTTTATTTCTACTTTCGCACGCTAGTCCACGAGCAATTTCAATTAACGGTCCTTGATGCACACAAGGGAATGTCTAACCTATGATTCAGTCGACCACTACAATACACGTTTCGTTGACTGTTGCTCATACCTCGAACTGTTACTGGCGAATTCCGTTAGGGTAGCGCACATGAAATGCAGCCAGGGCATCGTTACCGACTATTGAATCTACCTATTGGTGTTCCAGATCAATAAATTGTCACCGGGACCGGTCACCGTCACCAAATTCAGTAAGGAGGTCAGGTAAAAGTGGGTGTATATTCTATGTTTGTATGAGTGTAGAACCCAGTTAATCGTACGTAACACTCACTTGATTTCAACAGACAGACTTTAGATTTTACCAGTACATTGTACATTCGGCAACCTACAGTGCACTCCAATGTGTGATTCGGATAAACTGACAACAAATTACACACCCGCATACCATCATCAGAGTCAAGGACAGCAACACAACGGCGGTGGAAGCTGTTGATTAGTTTTCGTATGAAAAACCGGGCATACAATAGCGATTTAGGAGGGGGCGATACGGCTCATTGGTTATAGAACGAAATTACTGACCGGTGGGTCCATGGTTCGAACCCAACCTCTGCCTATCGGCTTCCCCTGTGTAGGCTTGGGTGACCTGCCAGTATTTCAGCCCTCGTGCTTCCTTTGGGTGGCATGACAGGTAGGCACCCAAATGGTGTTACAAATGTAGAATTTCATTCCTTTTAGCTGATGACTCCTTACGGTCATGACTTTTCGCATAGCTCTTCCATGACATAGGGTGAGAAATATGTTCATAAAAGAGCTTTGTGTCTTCACTGCAGCAATCTCCTTGTATACCACGTCTCAGCTGAAATGCCGGAATTAACGAAATAAGATAACGCTTCATCTTGTTTGCTCCTACTGTTGACAGTTATGCTCACAACAGTCCGTGTTTAATCCAGGAATGGGCATGACCGCAGCAACCGGATCATCCATGCAACGTGTCCTTTTGAAAATCGGAGCAGCAGCCAGCTTTTTCTACCTCTAAGCACAGGGTTCGAATCATGCAGCAACCGGTCTCTTATGACTAGGGATCTAAGCACTCAAAATTTCAAACGTCATTGCGTAATTTCGGATCCAAGTGCACAAAGTGCTGATAAGTTTCAGGTAAGAACTGATTTTCTGACCCTGGAACATCGTTGTCGCATGTGAACTAGATACAAACAGGCCGACTGTGCGTGCGCGGACGAGCACGGACTTCAGAGTAATCTGATGTATGTATATTTGTAGTGCACTAGTCATAAGGTTGCTGAAAATTCGTCAACAGCCCACGAGCGGTTTCGCCCTTCTTGGGGTCCATCAGATGGGCGCAGTCCCCAAGTTTCCGTCAACCTTATGTTCTACTTGAAACTAAATTGCACGAAATCAGCGTAATACACTCGTTTGCAAACTACTTTGGTTTTTCGAGAGATTCAACTGGAACCCTACTGAATCTGCCGTTTGTGATGTTTCTAGGCATCTGGATGTATTGCACCAGGCTTTCTCACGTTTCAGTCGCTACGATATTCGAGATATCGCGGTACATGTATATTGGTAATGCACTACTCATAAGGTTGCTGATTCAGTTTGATCCAAAAGGAAATATAAAAACCTATGCTTAGCTGACAAGTGGGTTTTATTACGGTGTACAGCGCTCAATAGCTGAAAAAATCTATCCACTGCTTAGAAGGCATCCAAAAGGAAATAAAAAAACCTATGCTTAGCTGAAAAGTGGGTTTTATTACGATGTACAGCGCTCGATGGCTGAAAAAATCTATCCACTGCTTAGAAGGCAGTGACATTTAGTTTGTTCAGTTGGTGTTTTTTCGAAACTCCCCACTCCTGAGGAAACTAATAAAGAGTAAACTGAGAATAGTTTCTCTAATCACACACAGGATCAAGGGGAAACTGATAACTCAATCGGTACCCTCTGCAAAGTAAAACGGGAACGCACCTGGTTCATCGCTATGATTTGGTGCTCATGTGGACACAGCTGAATGACAGACAGTCCGTTGGCCAACGGGCACGCGTTGTGTGCCAACAGGAGAGTGCTTCCCCCATCTTGGTTTCAGTTCGTCTTCCCCTGGATCAATAACTTTGGACTTACCTGTTTTTGAAAACGTGTGCTATAATAATCCCCTTGCGGTTAGTCAAACTGCGACTACTTACTTGTTTCCTTACGGCATAGCCGATATTGAGCTTTCGATCTTTAAATACCAAAGTCTCAGCCTATTTCGGGCAAACCCTTTCAAAAGCTGAAAGCGGACTGACTTCGTTTTTTATTATGGCTTCCGCGGTTTCCTGATCTTCGAAGGTAACAAATGCATAACTGCCTTTGGATAAACCAGATTTATCATAAATGACTTTGACATCCTTGATAGTTCCGAAAACTGCGAAAAAATTTCGAAGTTCGTCCTCTGTGGTCTGTGAAACGTGTTGAATGTACTGTCGCATCACTCACGTTCGAGCTAATTCCACCGACAAATATTCTATTAGGTATAAGTGTACCTATTTTCGGCAACGTAATTCCTTGAGATGTGGGATGTACGGCAGATGTCGTGGTCAGGGTAATGGGGCTGATAGAGAACGCTGATTCATCAGGCATTGTAGTCAAAATACAGACAGGTAGATCACAAGTTATCAGACTTCTTGAGGGGTTTCAAGTGAACACAAATAGTTGTGGGGCTCACCAGCACAGTGACGAAACATAACAAACGTGTAACTGCCGAAACCAGACGGTGGATAACCGATAGCCCCTAGCACCAGCGGCCCTCAATCACTTTTGAAAACCTGTCATTGACAAACTCACAAAATCGATACAAAATAGTCACTTGATCTAATTTCATGGTCAAGCGACTAGGATGTCACATGTCTTCTCTTTGAAAAGAACAGCTACTCTAAGTGGGAGAGCAAGCATTAGTTCTGACAATACCAAAACGAAGCTGAAAAATGACTAGAACAGTGGAAAGAAAGTAGTTTACTTGTAAGCCACGTGATTCTTTCCATCGGTTGCCCTTAGCGGAAACCAAAGACAAAGTAACACCTATCCCGGCCTGGCAGCGACCCCTGTCTGAGAGGAGGGACAATATTATTTCACATATTGTTCTTCAAAACCCTACTTACTCTTTACACATGTACTTATCCAAAGATGGTACTCGCAGCCATTGTGTTCTGATTCCAACGGTTGCTGTATACAGTAGGAGAAGAACTGCTCACGAGGATCCCCTGAATACAAAAAAATGCTCAGCTGTAACACCCTTCCGGTGCCTAGCTGCCATGCTACCCGAAGGAAGCACGAGGACTGGATAATAGCCAGGTTGCCCAAGCCTAAGACAGGGGAGTCGAGAGGTAGGAGTCGGGTTCGAACAACGTCCCTTCTGGTCAGCAAATTCGCGCTCCACCCAATTGAGCTAACTCGCCATCCCTCAAAACAAACACATTTTAGAGGTGCATGTTCATGAACTCACCAACTGTCAGTACGCACCCAAAGATGGAAAAAGTACATGTGCAGAGAGTGACGCATCCTCAAGGTCACCATCGGTACGACACGTCCAGAAAGCAGGTGCGTTGGCGGAGCTCACCAAACATGGCTTAGCAACATAAGACCAGCGTAG